GGGGGGGGAGAAACCTCAGTAAGGATAGCCAGTCTCTAGACCAAGATTTGTACATCAAACATGAAACCGAGTGCTTACTGCTCACTCATGACATTCAATCATTTCCAGAGTAATCAACGGTCTTCACTTCTTAAAAGCATATAATGAGTATGAGTGCATCAGCTCAGTTAGTGAAGTGGGTGGGTATGAGCTAAATGATCACAGTTCAATATTTGGCAGAGGCAAAGAATTTCATCTCCTATGAAACGTTTACAAACATACTCATGCCACCTCAGCTTCATAATCAATCGTAACCTGGATTTTATTACCCAAGGGCAATACCAACCAGGCAATAAATGTGCTAACTCACTTCCACCTCATAAAATCTAAAATCTATCAAGGTTTGCATCCAGATCCCTTACATGATCACGTACTTTGGCATAGAGGTAACTCAACTTTATCTGTGAGATTTGTCCTTCATTAACTACAACCCATGCATGGCAGGTTTAGTAATTTTATTACTTTACAGTGGATATAAACATACAAAGGAATGAATATCTAAATTTGCATAATAATTAAGTTTAATTAATACCTTTCCATTCTCGTACCACAACAAAGCATGGTTACGGGATAGCACTTTGCAGTCAAAGATGGCATTATTAGGAGCAGCTCGAGCCCGAGCCACTGAACGTCCAATTTTTACTGGCTGGTCCAAAGTCAGTGACCGTTCCTGCAAAACAAAAATGAGAATGAATGATAAAAAGCAGAATATTCTAAATGGACTTTTATTCAAAGCAGATACAACTTCAAGTTTATACAGAAGAGTCCAAATTATCTGACGTGCCACACAAATACCCATTACCAATTTCTTTAAAAAAAAGCTTTCATTTGCAAATTTACATTATGTTAAATATTATTTTTGTTTGTGAGATTTTTTCATTAGATACTGTGTCATATTTTCTTCATAAATTAATAGTATTGAGCTGATATTTTCCCTCATATTTTTCATTAGTTTTCCACATTCTCCAACATTTTTAATCACCTGGCCATCCTTCAGTCCTGTTTAGGTCAGATAATCTGGTCTGTATTGATATACTCCACTGAAGGTAAACCACAAGCACTTAAATTTCCTAACAGATTAATTCAATGGAGCACACTCCCTCTTGAAAAATTTAACCAGAAATTGCACACCTTTTATGGAAACAAGTTTCATTAGTGTTTGCAGGAGCCCACCACTGCATCTTAACATGAATCCAGTACATACCTTAGTACCCTGTTTCGAACTTTATTATAATCTTCCCATCAATGCCTAGGTCTCCCAAATGGTCTTTTCCCTTCAGTATTTCTGACAAAATCCTGTATAAAATTCCCATTTCTACAATATATATGTTCCACTAATCTCACTATCCTTTATTTAATCCTCTTAATAACATTCTATCAGGCTTACAAATTATGGACTTCCTCATTATGCAATTTTCTGCAACCTTGTGTCCCTTCTTCTCTCTTTGTTCCAAATATTCTCCTCACCACTCTTTTTTCAAACATCTCAATCCATGAAGTTTGAAGGTTTCTGATAATGGTGTGACCCACTGTTAGACTTCATCCATTTTATAAGTGTTTTCAATTATGGGGAGCTGGTAAACCCTATCTCCACAATGTTAATTTTGTCATATTCAGAAACATTTTTCTTTTTCTAAACATCTACAGATTCTACTGTCATAAAATTTTGTGCATATATACTTATTGGTTTTCTGCATCTCATAACTTTTCTCATAGCAATAAAAACAATTTACAACTTCTTTTTTATAGAAAACTGATATGAAAAAACCCATAACAACATGTGTAACCCCAGTCAAGTTAGTCCAAGGACAAGACTGATGTACTTAGAACAAATAGAGTCTAAGAAAAAAAATATTTTATTGCATGGAGGCTCTCAGAAAGAAATATTCATACTATACGAAATGTATTTCATTACTTAACTACAGCAGGTAAGACTTGCCATAGGCAGGATATTAAATATTCTGTGCATGAGCTGCTGATGGTACATGAACTAATCTGCAAGAAAACAGTGAGGATGATACATGTTGCCATAAGATGTCTGGAAGAAATTGAAAAATGCATAAAAGATCAACATTTACTTGATATGAGTATTATAAATCTTCAACAGACACCACAAACAAGTTATAAAATAAACTTTAACATTGGACTAATTACCTGAAATGGATGAGAATTGGGCCGACAGATGAGAACAGCCTTGGCAGCCATCTTAGTAGTAGCTATCACATCTCCACAATTGGGATAGACCACAGATTTGACCCAACCACCACTCACCACGACCATCTGAATCCAAACAATTACTCATATAATGATTACAACTTTCAGCATGGGAAACATAGTATTAAATAGTTCATTCTGACCAGGACAGAAAGCACAAAGAAACCAATAATCTATTATAAAAATTTGTGATTTCTTTCGTGGCATCATTAGCATCTCATCCTCCTTGACTTACACACCCTATGATTATCAGGCAAAGACACAAAATAGGAAAACTCCTCATTGTTAGTCTTTCCCAGTAGGCTACTTTTACTGTTATTCTCAAGTGTGTGTACTTTATAAAATTCTATAAGAATAAATTTCATATTCACCTTCTACTACAATTTTGTAGTGTATTGTAAACATATACTTGCTTCTGTTTTTATTAGTTTTAGTTTATCTTTTATAGTATTTATGTCAACATAACATTAAAATTAACATCAACACTGCCTAATAGCTCATCCATTCAGTACTTCCTACATAAAAATTAGAATTTCCATGTAACAGACAATGTTAAAATGATAAGGGTCAGACAAACAGCATTTTGAACTTACCTAGAAAACCTTTGATTGTTGAACTACACAAGACTTGAGCTTCTTGCTGGTGGAGCAGCCCAGTCACAGCTTCCCACCTCTCCTGATGATGCCATTCACCCTGCACAGGAAACATCAATTCCATTTGGCTTAACTTACTTTCATTATTTTATGAGGAAGCTTATTGCATGTCATATATCTGAGGGTCACTTGAGTACTTTCAAACCACAATGACAAATTTTCATGAAATTTGTTATAAACATAATACCACCTCAACTTTGTAATTTATTGCTAATAATATCAACTGTTTTCAAAACTGTCATTTAAGATCCCTGTATTAAATTACATTAGTGTTATTAATGTAATGATATGAAATTTTGTGTAGCTACAGACATTAAAAAAGTCAACTTTGGTCAAACTAATTTTCTATACAATGCAAAACAACATTTCTCTATATACAACAGACACTGAAAATTACCATACCATGTAGCACCTTTCCAAACTCCCTCCATGTTAAAATATTGATCCTCATATGAGCAGTTTCTGAACTGTAACATGGAGGTCTGTAATTCCAAGACTAGCAATAGCCCACAACCTTATTACTTCTAGTCTGTGAGACAATGGGTTATTTGAGCTTACATGGAAGTAAGGTTTTGCTCGAATTAGAATAACCAGCAACAAACCTCCAATATTTCTGACTCAAAATGAATCATTCATTAAGTGTTCTGCATTTATAAGAAATGTGCATAAACATGCTACATAATACCATAAACTATAAAGAATTTTTAAGTAACACAAAAGCAAAATTGTTAATTTTAAAGCCAGAAATCATAGCAGTCTCATGTAACTGTATTAAGCAATCATACATTGCACAAAAATTAGTTACAACAAACTCATAATTTCTTGTATTTAAAAATATATTCGACGTCAGAGGTATTTTATGTATTCTGATCACAAATCTAAATAATTTTGCTGGAGAAAATATGCTCTCTCTCAATCACACCAAACAATTCTTTTTTGGAAATTGACAGATGGCCAAAATCCTTGAAAAAATAAAAAACACTCACATGCACACACACACACACCGAATACAAAACTTTATGCCATTAATTTATACTCCATACGCTTGCTCACTGTTTACAAATGTAATAACGCTACATAACCAAACACATGAAACATAATACTCTTGCTGCTTGTGAAGCACACAATATCAAGTTCTCTTTACTGCTACTAGACATACACCTCGATGTAAAACCACGGCCGTTGCAACAATTCGGGAAAATATGAAACAGAATGACCAGAAGGTTGGTCAACTAGATTTGAGTAATTCCAATATGTGCCACAAAATATCACCCTTCCTAATACACAGTTCCAAAATATTGATATTAATAATATAATTTAATATTAAAAAGTGTCCTTGTCCAATCATTAAAACAAAAACGTTGAACCCCATTAACATACATACTTCTATTTCTACTTACACTTGACACAATGGAAGCTGCACAGTTTTCATATAACCAACGAACAACATTGCCGACAGTCAGCCATTTTGTCTGGGCAGCGCCAAGGTTACTAAATAAGAAGATTGAATCTTGTAGATTATTACCGTCATGTACCATTCGGAAATCTTCGGAACCAAGGTTGTTTTATTGACTAGAATGAGGTAATTACTGATTTACACATCACCATATTTGCTGTAATTGCTCATACTACATTCAATTAAAACATATATGAAAATAAATAGATTCAAAAAGTTCCGGCCCAAATGAATACAGCGATTTTATCATATGTAAACAGAAGCCTGCTCCTGTAAGTCAAGGCATACACGCCCCTTACAGCGAGATTATTCATTGTTGTCGTTAGTTCAAGCCTTCTGTACTATAAGCTTAAGGTTTAAGATAAATCACAGAACAGCGCTCAGTACGTGAGTTATTTCAAAACAAGTACATGTAACTCGTTGAGCAGTGGGCCTAACACAATATTTCGCCATGAACTGTAAAAATCACCAATAGAAATGGCGCAGATGCTGGTGCCATCATAGATTCAAGGGCGGTCGTGAATAGTTTTAGGCCCGTTACATAGTCGAGCGGACGCTCCGTCCTCCGCTCTCCGCATGCGGATAGTCAAGTTTACACAGTGCCGCGGAGGTTCATCAATTTGTCGTAGAAAATGGATGGATACAGACTGAAAGTAATCGCTGTGTACCACATATATAAAATGAAAAAACAACGGAAAAATAGAAGATATTATGTACATCCTATAATTGCTCAAAGAAGTTTGAAAGGTGCTTTCACGACATTAAACATGGATTTGCGTGAAGATAGTGATAAGTTATTTAAGTATTTTCGCATGTCAATTAAATCCTTTGATGAACTCATAGGAAAGCTGGAATCCAAATTCGACCTCCATAATTAACAATTCACATTCATGTTGACTGAACAGTGCACTCTTCACAAATGAAATGATCTGTCGCACGTTGTCCGCTTGACTATGCAAGTTACAAGTTGTTCAATGGAATTAACTGACGCGGAGACGGAAGGACCACGCGGACGGCTCCTCCGCGCGCAGGCCGCTCCGTCGAATCGTGTAGTCACATAAAGAACAAGGTAACTTATCCTTAGGCCTTAAGAAACGGTGGAAAGTATAACATTGCTGAATAAGGGCAATGTGAGACAGGTGCAGGTGGTTGCGTGCTCGTATCGCAAGACTGCAAAGGTAGTCGGATATTTGGTTGATATTTGCCACATCGTCCTCAGTAACAATATGAATATACATTAGCCTCCTCTACAATGGGTAACGGGGGTCCTTTCCTGGGGGTAAAGCCGGCCAGGGCGTGATGCTGACCACTCACCCCCATCTAGTGCAGAGGTCAAGAAAGAGAGGAGCTATACCTCCTCTCACCCCAAGCGCCTGTATGGCACATAGAGGGACAAACTTTACTTTACTTTACTTTAGCACATTGTACAGAGAATGCTGGAGTTCATAAATGCAGGGGACAGAATAACTTTTTTATCAGTATTCAGGGAAGAGAATAGACGAGTTCAGATGGCAGTTTGATTCTTTTCGAATAAAAAATGTTAGCACTGTTGGTTTCAAAGTCAGTATAATGTGTGGCTGTGGATTAAGAATTAATGCTTTGGGGCAGATCATTGACATAGAAGATGAAAAGAAGACAACCAAGTATGGAACCCTAAGGATCTCCATGTTTTACACCACTTAATTACTTACATATTAAAATAAAATGGTGACTGCAACATATGCTACAGGTGTGAAACATTTGTATTATCTGATTGCCATAGTTGCCATAGCTTTCATCCGTACCAGTACAAATAGTTACATTAGCAGTTCACAGCAACTGATTTTCAACCAATCTAATTGATATGAGCTACACAACTTTTAACCTTATTAACATATGCTATTATGTACTTCTGTAACTGTTATATAATCTGTAAAATTATGCTAATAGAGGGAATGAAGAACATATGTAACAGATGTGAAAACAGTGTGGTCATGAGCAGCAGACTAACTTGGGAAGTTTCCAGGTGTTTAGAGTGTTTTGCTTTATGCTGCTAAAGGACAAAATGATATGAAGATTAAAGGGCAAGTGTCATACCAAAAATGCAGCACGCAGATAACAGTTTTGCGGGAGCTGAATCAAAGCAACACAAATTTCAAAATGGTAAAAGATAAATGTGTAGTTATGAAAATAAAGTCTGAAGACAGTTGGTATGGACATGTAAGAATGAATTAAGAGATAATTCTAAAAGAAGGTATTGAACATGAAAGTAAAGGGGAAATGCCCATGTGGGGGGTCAAGATTAAGATGGGAACAAGTTAGGAAAGATGTCACACAGAAGGAAGAATGTAGTAAGAATTTATGAGAAGAAGCTATGGCGAAATAAAGGTAGATGAAGAGACTTCGTTATCTGATGACCAACATAAAGTGAGAATGTCTTGGGGAGGAGACACTAAAAATATTTCAAGGAAATCAATCTTAAAGCATTTAATAATAGAAGAGTGCCAAACTCACACAAAATACATTTTTTATATTATACGGCAGTGAATGGATACTGGATATACAAATTACTGAGTCTCCGGAGTTCAATACCTTTATTTTAAATTGTGTATGACACTAACAAATATAACATTTGCCATAATTCTTATAAAACAGGTATCATGTTAACTGTAATCCATGCATACTAGCTTACAGTGAAATAGACATACTTAAGCTGTTAGGTATTTTCTTTCTCAAAGTATGGACACAGCACTGGTAATTCTGTACATCATGATGGGACAGTCATTATCAGGCATCAAGAATTAAGTCTGGCACAGGTAAAGTTAATTCACTGGAGTAAACAGCTTTGAGTACAATGCATCTCAGGGTGAAGGCAGTAATATAAAAAAATGCTTGTACCTGTAATGAGTGATGGATGCCATGTCTTGGGTTCACAAAAAGCGGGAATTTAGCCCAATCACATTACTATAATTTTCAGTTACATATTGTCATTCTACTGTTTAATTGTAGCTATTAACATTACAATTATTACAAGAAACAAAATTACTGACTGATAATTTTAGACATACCACATAGTTTTGAAAAATGTAATTGAGAGTGTGTACTTCCGGATATGTGGAAATAAAAGTACTATTATGTGCAAATACATTCAAATCAGGGACACTGTAATGAAGTCCACACTGAGATCAAATGTAAAATGTATGCTCAAAAAATGTTTTAGAACGTCCTCGTTTCATAGTAATAACCACAAATGGTGCTAGTACAACATCAAAAAGCAAACTTCGGCCTTAAAAGTCAGTAGTTACACTGATTTACATCCAAAATTAGTGAAAAGTATCTGAATTATTCACATGTAAATGAATGCTGCACAACTTTACATCTTGTGGCAGCACATGCACAAAGCACAGATTTTTGATACTAGCTAAGTGATATCTAATTATTACTTCATAATTTCACCTGAGATCCATAAATAAAGTGAAAGACACAAGCAAACCTATTTACCTAATGAAGAAGCATCATTCTGGTAACAGACTTGTATACAGAAGTTTAGAAATTTTAATGGCAACTGTATTTTGTTTCACAGAGATTCATAAACTGTAACAAATATACAGATTACAAGATACTAATCACCTTGAAGATAAGCAATCAGTCTGATTCATATAATTGGACTCAAAGCAACAGAGATTCTAGAGCAGTCAATAGATAGGCTTAGGAAGGTATTGCTATTGCAGGATTAAGACATCTCTACAAACATTAAACTATTATAGCACAGCTCTTGTTGATTCCATCTTGTGTTGTGAAGAGAACACTTACTTGCCATTCCTCTAAATTCTACTATGTTGCCAATTTTTGGCCATGACCAGCTGGCACTGTGTGTAGACTAATGCTGTAGCCAGGACTCAGAATTCCATTCTATAAACATCATTCCAGCAGTAAAAGTTTACACATAACAATGTCTGGTTTTGTGCTATACACTCACTAGAAAAATCATATGAGTTTTGACTCTAAACACCAATGAGAATTTGCCATAACTCTTGTAATCCCTGCTAGACCCCACAGTTCTGTGACAGTGTCTGCATCACTCAATTTATAGGAATCTAATGACTGAACAGAAATACAAATATCTCACTAAGGAAAAGTTAAAACTCTTTTAGACTCTAATTTATGTACAATGTACACATTTTAAATAAACTTATATGTTAAAACTACACCTACTTAGATCACAGCAAAGCAGTATGAAAAAATTTTATTTAATAAAAACTGTAGGACAAAAATGTCCAAATATCAGTGTACGAAAATTGGGGTATCAATGGTATGAAGCATACTTAAAAATATTTTAAAGGTGCCCTTTTAGTATGGTTCCTTGTGGGACTAGCATACAGATTTACTCAACAGAGCTTCCCAGGTTCATCCTAAGTTACATCTTAATGAATAAACCACAATCAAGCAGTCATTCAAATTCAACTGCTTCCACAACACATTCTGTTGCTTTTCACCATCTTCTTTAATTCCTGACTCTCCTTCTGCGTCCTCTCTTTACTGTCAAGACAGATAAGTACAGTAAATATTACATCTATAGATCACAGCAATGTAGATATAATTCTGTATGAAATTCTACATCTGAAATACTTACCATGATGCAATTTGTTGTTAGATTTTATTTCACTTGGTTTAACTAGTGGTTCACTGTTGTCATCACCATTCAGTTCCACATCAGAGTAAATATAGCTCTCATCACTGGAGCTAGTTAGCCTGTCTTCAGGAATTGTTGCTGTCAGAAGTTCAGCCATGTCATCAAGAAGACTATCATGTGGTTGGATATCATAAATTTCTGATCCACTACTAGAATGCAATAATTCAACACAAGTAAATGTCAAATCTGCAGAATACTGAAAATGAAATGTAAATATTTTCTGATTAAAAATATACATCACTGTTGGTTTCCTTAAGGCTTGCAAAAATGGTTTAACAAAGAATTTTCTTCAGTGTCTACTCTCTGATCAGAAACATTTAAGTCATGTAAGTGGCTGTCTATACGGAGTTTTCCTCCGGGGCTTCCCCAGTTTCTCCGTGGCATCCCAACAATTACTCCATACGCCATACACACAGAAGAAAGCAATGGCAAACCACTTCTGTATCACCTGCCTAAAAACACATATGAACAGGTCCCAGTCAGATAAAAGGATGGAAGGTTTCTCTTCATAATATGTCACCAACCTCCTGTAAAGGAGACAGCATAATAAAGAAGAAGTGGCTGTCTCTGTCTCTATTACATATAAAAGGAAAGGGCATTTATTATGGGACCCATGAGATGAAGGTACAGCCATTATTATTAAGCAGATACAAGAGTATGTTCTTGTGTAAGTTAAGTTCAGATCATTCTTGACTTTAAAACAAACATCCTACTAAATGCTGTATACAGTGATAAATGGAACACCATACAACATTTAAAGATCCTACACTGAACCACACTAGGTATTGTTTATACCTCACAAGTTTTATGTGGATAGATGTGAAGATTTACAACTGCATGATTATCATATAGACTTTAACGAAAATCTGTTAATTAATTTATATAATGTGATATCTGTAACTGATTCATGGGATAGACAGACACATGCACTTGATAACAGGATTATGAAAGAACAAAGTTCCCTTTTCATAATCCTTAAAACAGAAACATCCTCAAAGCTCTTACCCGTCATTTGATCCTGCTTTTATATGATAACTTTCATGCCTTGGAGGTGGCCTTGGTTGTCGTGCAGGCATTTCTAGTGTACTCTTCCCAGAAGTATTGAAACTGATAGGTTCTTCCATGTGAAATGCTTGCTCTATTTCTGGTTTTTTTTCCCACACTTCTTTGAAAAAAGGTGTGTAAAATGCAGCTACAAAAGAAAAGTAGATTCCAGTTTTCCAAATCAATAAACAGATTTGCATATATGAACTGACATTCTGAAAATGTGTGAACTGAGCTATCATAGACAACCAAAGATGACTTCTTTCATGAGACTTACATAATAACAGTGAAGAAACTGACAAAATTGTGTATTAAAAAGAAACAGTGGAGTGTTAACTAACACCTAATATTTTAGCTAGGAAGTCACAGGGTAACCCCCACTTAATGGTACCTGCACCTTGTCATGGTGGTGGGGCTTGAGTACCTCAGTGATCCCAAGAGCTATGCTGGTGGTAGCATAGCTACTGGTAGGGCCTCCCTAGCCAGATTGGTTGAGGGGGAGAGGTCAGACTAAGACAGGTACCCTGGTCCTCCAGGTTGGGGGTTGGTCTCAAGGCTAACAACCTTGCACCGTAAAAAGGAAGATGTTTCGAAACCTCAATCAAAGCCTCGGACAAAGGAGAATTGAGGAGGCCATGGACCGAATATGGACCGGAGAGCCATAGAACAAGAAGAAGTCACAGGGTAACAAATGACTGGGTCCCCTTGTAAGAACAATATCTCTGAAGTTTCCCATAAAATCGATCAGTGTGTGATATGATAAAAGTTAAGAGGCTTTATCTCCTTGACACAGCTCAAGCACCTGAATGTGTAGTATATGTTACAATTAGGAATTAAAGATAAGTTGTAGAAGAGTGTTATTAAATAAGATTTGTATATAAAAAAAACCATCAGACATCACCAGATATATTACTGCTTGCTCACAGCACTTACTCTTCTGCTGACATGATGATACAGATGTCATGAAATGTGCTTTCAAGCGATCTGCTGTGGCATTTCCTTCTGTTATAAGAAGATGACTCAAGTCATTACTGAAGAAAGCATTTGCACCTCCTGTGTCTGTCACTGCCAACACTTGGATTGGTAAATTAGGAATGTTCATTGAAAATGCACTGAAAAATAATCACATAAAACAAATATCACTCTTGGAAAACACATGTTGGGTATGTGAAAATGAACCAACCAATTTCATGAACAAGAGTTCTTCTTCCACCCCCACCTTATTTCTTTAAGAAATATCTTACCTAATGGAGTACAGTGAAAATCATACACACATACAGGTGGGCAGTGTTTATTCATCATTTTAAAATATACACAAGCCTGAGATTATTTAAGTCTGCTGGACATGTTTGAAACACTTTGTTTACAAAATTAAAATACCATTAATTTCTCTGTAATTTGATGATTCTCTTAATATGAAAATTCATTTGATGAAGTTACTTGTCAATCATCCTTGATGACAATATGCATAAACTCCAACTTGCATGACAAATTTCTGAACTGTGTTCTTAAACCAGGACAGTGGATTAAAAATCTTGTTTGGCTTAGAAGTTGCTCATGCATATAGAATATCCAATGCTCTTTATAACAATTCAAGTAATGAGCTACATAAGTTGGATGGCATGATTGTCAATACATAGCAGCTAGAAATAATTATTTATTTCATTCCAACAATTATATATAAATTACACTTTAACAAAACATTAGTACTGACTATCAATGGTTACCAACAATTTTCAGTTTTACTGTAGAAGTATTTATCATTACATTACAGTACAGTAAGCATGGCAGGAAACATTTAATTTAACTACGTTCTACTGCATTTTGTCCCTGATACAATACACTTACTTCAGGGTGGCAAGTGATGCTCTTCTTTTGGCTGAATACACCAATATGAATCCATGTACCAATTCTTCTCGGAAAGCGTTAGCACCATGAAATGATGAGACAATCACTTCTACCTTTCGCTTTGAGTCATCAAGGAATGTTTCCAGAATGATACTTCGGTCTCCACTCAAGAAACAACACTGGTGACTTATTAAAGGACCCAAAACATTTTCTACAGAATATGGGTCCCCACAGAACATACACATAATAATCCTACAACAAAATCATAATATTTCATCAGACATGGTAGAACATGGATAGGTGAGTCAAGTGACTGAATCTGAACTCAATGTCTTGCCATTTCACATGAAGTTGAAGGGAGATCCATCATTAAAAAAAGTAGATTTTTAAGGATCTAAAAAAGACAATGGATAAAGTCCAAAAACAAAAAAGTACTAATGTAAGGCCATTACCAAAGACATTCACACAAGAATTCTGAGAAGTATATCTAATTCAACCAAAAATAATGTTAGACACAAATTGCCAACTGATTACTGGACATTAATATGACAATTATAGTGTGATACTTTAAAATAAAAATATTAGATTGTTAATATTATTAGAAATACCAACAGTAATTTTTCTACACAAACATTTTTTGCCCTTGTGTACACTACACTCAATGTAACATTATTCTCTCTCAAAATCGCTGCTTGCAAAGAACAAATTTTCTGGACCCATAAGAGAAAGAATGGTGATATTTCTTAAAATGTATTTTCCAATTAAATTTTGAATTATATTTTGTCTGGTTTTGATCTAGAGATCTATAGAACTAAACATAAATGTGGCAATGGCCAAGATCTAGTTATGGTCACCAAACAGCTATTCATCTTAAAGGGCCAGAAATAGAGATTCTTCCCTTGAAAATCATAAAAATAATCTCACCTAATGTCTGGTTCAGAGCCCACATATGGCTGATTCACATTAAGAAAAACAGCCCGATGATGAATACACTGAATGAGCTGTCCCATAGCTTCAGCTATTAAGGCTGATGAAAATCGCTGTCCAGGATCAATAATATCTTCCAGTGAGACATCAATGAAGGGACACTGCAAACTAAAAATATTTTTTTTAAAAATAAAATATACATGCACTGACTGCATGTAACATATGCACTTACTAGTCATACTATCTTCAGTGTATAAATGTAACTATTATGCCATAAATTCCTCAGCTGGGTGCCACATGTGAATATGTAACACGTTTGTTCTTTTTCATTAAACTTCAAGTAAAAGTTTGCATATGTAAACTAATAACTTGAAATTTGTGAAATGATATGCACGTCAGAACTCAAATGCTGCTGGCTGCTAAGTGTTTTTCAGGAGGAATCAAGGAAACAGAAAATATGGTGTTGCCAAATATGGCACTGTGGAACTTTGGTTTCCAGTGAATGAGAATTGTTTTATTAAATGTATCTGCAGGCAAAGAATCAATTTCTCGTGAATAATGTATATTAATTTGCAAGCTTATCTATACAAATCCAGCCTTTCTTCTCCATTAGGAAATGAGGTTACAACACTAGCAAGGAATCTGAAAACTTGCAACAATGAAGTTTGGATGCCAATGCTTCTGAAATGACTGAGCCACTGCTGCTCATCAGCAGACCTCCTTTGTGCTGATTTGTCCCTTACAAAGAGTAGAGAAAAACAATGTATTTGTTAAATAGTCAGTCACCCCAGGTGAGTGAAACATGGTCAAACACACCAGAAGGCCTTCCATAACAAGAGCGTCAAACCCAAGAGTTTCTTTGCATTCAGGTCTGCAACCATAAAATCTACAGAGGAAATTTTCAAAGGTTATACAAAGAAATAAACACAACAGGGCTGAAAGTTGGCCACAAGGATATGCTGACCTGACTGGACTGCAATATTTAGTAACATATGTATATGTGTATACACAAACATTCTATCCGATGCCTGAGGTTTAAATTACCCGATTTACATATTAAATAAGCATGACTAATGAGTATATTGTAGAATTTAAACATAATTAAAAAGACAGCTGTGATAAAACTAGGTAACAAACTTTAATAAACATGCACATTTATAGTTTTTAAGAGAATGGCAATTAGTAGATAGATGTTAGTACATAAACTGAATGCTCTTCATTTTATACAACTGCTTAGTGTTAAATATGGAAACAAAAATGTATTTTTTCTCAATTGGAAATTTTATTTTTTCTACAACTCTGTGATTTAATTATATTGTTCCAATTCCAGCTTTCAGAAATTAAAGTAGAATTATCACAATTTTTTTCATATGCGTGTCATGGGGTATTAAGGTACAAATTTGTACAACATATTATCAGTCTTCAGTCAAAATGTACAACATACCTGTCAGACAGACTCTGTCCCTCCTCACGAAGTCTTAGTACCTCACTTTCATCAACAGATGGATCAGGGAGAAACAAGATCACAATAGGTAACCCTTGGAAAGGTAATCTGTCATCCTGTTCTAAATTAGACAATAATGTTTTCTCAAGACTATCTCTCACATATTCAAATGCTTCTGGATTTGAATATACACAAAAACAGCCTGTGAACAAATCAAAAGGAAGATATTAACTTTGGCGAAACAACTATGTAGATAGCTGCCTTCTGGACTGCGGAGGCAACAAGGACCTGTGAAATGCTTGTAAGCTTATACCAGACTACACTCCACTACAACCCAGAAAACATTTAGTTATCTTCATACTCACTGCCATGAGAACCTCAAATCCTACTAAAAAACTGTCTTTTCATTCAGGGAAACAATAACAAGTAAAAAATCAAATTAATGATGTATAATTTCTTAATATTTTATGAAATACTATGATTTTCAATCTCATCTCAGTTGTCAGTACCAATCCTTTCAGAATGTCAGTTATTCAATTTTTTTTAAGTACCAAGAACAAAATCAACTCACCATTTGGCAAAAAGTCTGTCCCTTTAAATGAATTTTCTGGTAAACTGACATCTCCATCAATAATTCTGTAGTCAAGAGAATAGAGATGGCAGTCTAATTCATATTCATCTTCATCACACTGAACCTGAAAATACAATTTACGCAGCTGAATGGACTACTGATGACTATACGAGTGAGGAAGTGGAGGAAACCATGTAGAAATAGAATATGCGTGACTAACACATTCTTAATTGGAATGTTTTGAAGATCTTAAGTAACTGTAATGAGCAGAGCCTTTTTTGACAAGACAGTAGTTGCTCAGCTAGTCAAGCAATTCTCTGCCTTTTATGGGACTCCAAGGTTCAATACAATGTTCACAAGCACCTGTCACTAGTCATTATCTTTCATCATCATCATTTCCTAAAGGACAGGCCTTGTCGCTGCAGCCATCATTATCTTTAGAGAGATTAATCCAGACAAAGTTTAATATTATACTATAACTCAGACCTGAGTTAGTTGTAAAAGAGGACATAAAACAATTTATCGTGAAGATGGTTGTCTTCTCGGTTGTAGTGCCATGTTGTCTGATAGACGTTTACCAGCATTTCAGATGTTCTTGCTGCATCCATCATAAGGGCAATGAAACATTGGTAAACTTCTATCGGACCACATGGCCCTACAACTCAGAAGACATCCATCTTCAAACTCACTGCCGTGAGAACCTCAAATCCCACAATTTGTTATATCACCTGACCATATATTGAAGTACTGTTGTAGTAATACAAATTAACCAAACAACCCATCTGTATATTTTAACGGCTGTGGGACATCTACCTGTTCATGTGGTGTCAGCTACACTGACAGCTGTGAAAAATCATCAAATTAAAACAAAGTTTACTTACTGCACCAACTTGGAAATTTTATGATAATGTTGTAGCATTTATTTTTGAAATATGTAAATTAATATTGTATATTTTCAGTATAAAACTCAAACACTGTGTTAATGAGTGTAGTGCTGAATGGTGCTGGTAGCAATGAAACGAAGTCAAACACATACATACCCGAATTTCACTTGCTAATTCATCTGCAAGACCATCAATTCCTAAGATAACTAAATTCAACCGATTATTGTCAGAATTCAGTCGCCATTGACTGTTATGATTCCATGAATTTGGCCTGAAAAGAACATAACAAACAATATCATGTTATTTGAAAGCTAAATTAAAATAGCATCCAGTGGCTCAAATTTATTGAATCCCTTCCTAAAATGTATTTATTAAATTAAATTTTAGAAAATAACACTGCCATCAGATTATAAATCTTATTTTCTCCCTCTGAATGCTTTCTTTCAAAGTTTTCTCAATCAGTATACCTACAATAAATAATATGTTAAGTTGTAGTATATTATTCAATATCAACATACCTGTGAACCCTTGTGCGTAGTATTCGCTCAATGAGTGCATCCATGCAGTTGGGAAAAGCTGGACAATGTTCTCTTATCGGGCAGTGGACAAATCCCAAATGCTGGAAGAGCATGAGCTTTCTGTCCTGATCTATTCTGTCCAGTGCCTTGTACCTGAAAGAAAAAGGAAAAAAAGAACAGCTACAGTGAGGCTTAATAAATGTATATCATTATGAGATGCATCTTTTATTTTCTTAGCATAAACATTTTAAGATGGCAAACTGTCTCTGAATCTTAAATAGGCAGTTTAATGATTATCACTGTTTGTAGTGCATACTTTGGTCACTTCTGCCTCCTGTCTATAATTTCTGAGGTATACATATCCATGAGAAAGATTCCACTATTTATAGCAGAAGATTATGTGTAGCAGAAGGGATCTGTAGTCTTGGAACCATTGCGAGGGACTGATATTTGCCACACATGACATTTTGACTTCATGTAAGTGGATGGACTGGAAAGCCAAAGGACTTGACCAGACCAAAAGTCTGAGAGCTTCTAACTACACTTTGAAATTTCTGGCACACCATTTTCTTATCTCCTTCTGTTATTCTTCTCATTACCTCATCCATTGCCATATTGAATAGCATACACTTCACTCAGTATGGAAATAAGTTGTATCAAAATGCAAGTATCAGAATACATCACAATACTTACCTTGAATCATCTTGCAAAGCATCTGTTATCTCCTTAATATCATCCTGTGTTATTGTACCTTCAGGGGCAATGCTCTTGAAGTGATAGAACAGATCAGCATGTTCCAATAATAATTCCTGTATAAGAACAAAATATTTCTGTACCATTTAACAAATCTTTAATTGTGAGAGAACAACATTAACCAACAATAATTCAAAATAAAATAAAAATTATAAAGATTTTTACATAATGTTGAATGCATATAATAATCAGACTATTGCCCAAAGAAGTTGTAAACCAGTCTATGTCCTCTATCCTATGAAAAGTTCCAATTAAAAATGAGAAATTCACTGAATTTTGAATAACTATAGTTCCAGTGAGACTTACCTGTGGGAAATTTATTTTACGTAGTCACCTTGATCAACGGTATCACAATCATGCATGATTAAAAACATTTATACACATTTGAACACATTAACCAATGCACAGCCAAGACATGTATATTTTCACTCACAGTGAAATGCCCAGTTCTGAAGTACATTACACTGACTTGCTTAGTGCTATGAAAAGCAGTCTTGACGCCTGAACAAAACCTCTACCTAGAGAAAATAACTGTTAATAAGTGAGACTGTACTCCATATCTGACTAACCTGAAAATTATGTTTTGCCTTGTCTATTATATCCTTCTGATGCTGGTCATAAATCTGTTGACAGTCCATTTCTGACAAGGCTTCAAAACATTCCCTCCCCATGAAGAGAACTCTAACTTCTGATAAAGCTTTGCCAGGAGTTACATAACCTGTATCTTCCAAAAGTTGTTTGAACTGCTTTTTCCACCTGAATGTAGAAGAAAAGTTTTATTAATATTGAAACATATAAAAACTCTTCCCTAAAATAATAAAATTTGTCATAAAAATAAGGAAGGACTTATATGCCTGAATTTTAACATGTCATGGACATACTTATACATGCATGCAAATTTAATTTAATTGAACTGGATTCTGTGCTACAGACTTTTAACTTATCTTAGACGGTTCAAATCTTCGATCACAAAATTCTCTATAATAAATTACAATTTTCAGTGGTCAGATAACTTCAATTACTAATTTACGTCAACGTCACAATCTCATATTACTTCTGGGAAATTTGTATGCATATATGCTGCCAACATATAACTTAACTATCTCCATGACCTGAGTCCTTCTTAAGCAAACAGTATGCTCAACTAGTCATGAAAAAACCAACCTTTCAAAGAACATGAAGATACATTACAATGTTCACAACAGCCCACCACCCAATGCCCTGTACCAGATGATACTGTATATTTTATTTAATTAATTTTACAAAGCTTTTCAAATTCTGTTTCCAATTTATATAATTTTCATGGATCTTTAACATTAGTAAACATCCTTTATAATGAACTATCATTAGAGACCATAAATTCTGAATACTATGAGAGAAAAATTGTTTCCTAGCATAAATGCTAGTTCACTGCAACACAAAATGTTTGGAGGTGCTCCTACATGTCTATAAAAAGTGGTGGTTGAAACAGAAACTTTAAAAACTAAAGGCATGATCATTACTTATAAACGTGAAAAATCATATGATGATAATAATTGTTTTTATGTAAGTGGGAATATCATAATAAGGTTTCACTCCATAATTAATACTAGTCCATGCATAAATTAAACAACTTGAGAACATTTAATAACAAACAGTTTTGCCAGAATTCACAGTATATGAAATAAAGTAAGTAGTATATATTCACAATAACCACACATTTTAACCTGTACATACCTTTGAGGTAACCTGCAGCAAATAGGAAAATAAGATATACAACTGTTAATTCTAGATTCATTACACTACATATACTTATATTTCCAATACAGAAATAATTTTTTTTAGCAAATTTATGTTACTACAGCGTTTTGACAATGAAAAGTTAAATCAGCAACAATGGATTATCACAACTAACCTTGCACTAAATTAAGTGCTTAAAAATATAAGAAAGTGAGCAACAGGAAAGTCAACTGTTAAGACAATATTTTATTCAAAATTCATTATGAAAATGTTAATTAATGATAAAACTTACTCTAATCTCTTCTGTTCCTGCTGCAAACCACTAACATGGCTTTTATATGTCTTTTCTGCTTCACTTGTATCCAGAACTTCATATGGAATTCTTGTTTCATTCCCTTCATCAAGATCATATTCTGTCCATGGAACATCTTCAGGACATTCAAAGAAATACTGGATGAACTCAGGGTGTTCTTTGATACGCAACTGAACTGATGACCAATCTCTGAAAAAATATTTAATTGAACTGATTGATGGTAGAATGTAAACCTAAAAATGAACCCATCTAAACTTACCTGTGAAATATGTGAGACTTTCACACATCGAAATGGCAGTAAGATGACACAAACAATTGTGGTTACAGAAATGGAATGAAATTTATGGTTAACTTAAACTTATACATGAAGCACTATGTCTTCCTGCACAAAGCATTTGAAAATAAAGGCAATGCTGTTAATCTTCAGAACAAAGCTTTTATGGTGAACTCATTTATACAACAGGTAGAATAAGTGCTTAAGAATGTAAACACTATTACAGATATAAATTGCTACACACATTTTTATTTATTTCATAGATTAATGGGCTTAACTGGGAACACACAAAAAGACATTTTTTAAACACAAAGAAAATGAAACTTTGCCTTTAATGTAACTTCAAAATTTAACTTCCTCTATTCAGTGGAGGTGATTATTACAGTTGACTGATGCTGCCTTTCTAGAAAGAAAGGTGCAAGTTTATAAATTAAACAACATATAATGTCACAACACATCTTCTACCAAAACTCCTGAACAAAAATAGTTGCTTATTGTATTTCAGTGTTAAAAATAAATCACACCCAAAATGAAGCACAGTATGAATGGAAACAAAAGAAACATTGTGCACAAGGTATCAAATAAAATGTGATGGTATGGAGTAAAAGTAAAAAGTAAAGCTGTCCCACTATACGCCATGTAGGCGCTTGGGGGGAGTGGAGATATAGCTAATACACATTCTTGACCTCGGCACTAGATGGGGGTGAGTGGTCAGCATGTGGTATGGAGACATGCAAATAATGGGAGAATAAATATTATTGTAATAATGCACAGAACAAGTGACATACTAAGGGGTGACAAAGAGAGCATTTAGAATGAATTCACAAATCAATAAGCAAACATCTAAAGGAGGTGACTAGAACAATCAACAGTTACTGAATATACAAATGGGTGAAACCCAAAGAAGAAACAGAACTTACAAATCTCTCAGTGCTGTTACATCAGGGAACATCTCCTGAAGAATGTCAGGAAGCAAAGCCATATAAGCTTGAATTTTTTTAGCAATATGTTCATCCTGTAGTTTCTTCAGATGTCTCTTGAACAGCCTCTGTGAGCTATCCATTCCAAACAATTCAACAAAGTGCATGAACTCTTTGTGCTGGAAAAATTTCTTTGATGTCAGACTCCATGTTGCTCTGTAATCAGACACTTGAGTACGTATCAATGACTGTAATGCTTCTGTTGAGTGGTCTAAAACCTCTTTCCTCACCCTTGCTGCTTCAATAAATGGCAAAATCCTTGCTCTTCCTCTGGTACGATCAATCAACTGAGCCAGCACTATAAAGGCTACATCTACATTAATGTTCTCATGGGCTGAGGTTTCAACCAATAGTATTCCTCCTTTGTACTCTTTCTTACCAACAAGTTTCTCAGCTTCTTTCACATATGTTTCATTTGCATCATCATTTTTGGTAGTGATGAGAACAATTGGCTTCTTGGTTTTTGTTAGATTGTTCAATATGGCTGTGACAGCTTCTACTTGTTTCTCTATAGTTCTAGAAGGTACTGAACTGACATCGAACACACACAGAAATCCATCAATGCTTATCTTTCCATCTGGCAAGAGTTTCTGTTCATATTCTCTTTCGATACCTGCAATCATAAGGAACGATATTCACTAATGATAAAAAATAATTATCAAGCGCAATTGACTTACTTCAATCCATGTATGCAAGCTTCAAATTCACCTCTCATTCTGCGCTATATAATCTATGCATTTGATACATCATCAGTCAATAAAATACGTGTAGTCCTTGCTATTAAAATAGTTATGTTCTTGAAGTGAGTTTGTAAAGCAAAAGTTCATAGAGCGAGTCACTATTCCCCTGCACTTACGTTACCACATAACAAAAAATGATCATAAAAATTAGAAAACAACAATTTCATTGCCTGAAATGAAACATAAAAGCAATGGAAACATTTCAGAACATTATGTATGCTACACAAAATAAACAACTTTTTAAATATAAATATGGTCTGTAAACAAATGAAAAATAAACATTCTCCTTGCCTTCCATTGGCTTTAGTGATTCAAGGGCAAAGAGGTGGAATGAAGTACATTTTATGGGAATTTAAGAGAAGATGATGGTGATGGAACTGTGGGGTCACCAGGATTGTCAAGATCATCTACATCTTCACCAGAGAGGAGGGTCATATTGGGTGGGATTTGGAAGGACCTTTTGAAGGAGAATTTGATATCACAATTTTACATTCCACCACCATTATATGTTATTATTTCAGTCTTCATTTCCATGTCATAGGCTTCCTAGAGCATTCCTTTAGTAACCACAATTGAAGAACTTTTCCTGTTATCAGCCATGATTAACAGAGTACAACAAAACTGCTAAAAAAATCTTTCCAAAAATGCACATCCAAGCAAACTGTAGGGTGAATTGACTCGTGTACTTTCCCTGGTTTCACCGACTGACTAGGTGATGCACACCTCATTATAGAAGTTCATACCAGCAAAATTTCATAATGTGAATCTTCATAATGACTGCTTTACTTCAATTAACAGCTACAAAATTAACTCAATGACTTAACTATAAAATCTGAAAACCATTACGGATATGAGAATTTACGTACTTACCAAGTTGATTTTTACAGATATACATAAGCTTCTCTGCAGAAGTAATTTTTGTTGCACTACATCTTTTTGCATATGGTTCCATTTTACTGCCTGTAAAAAATAATGAAATCAATTATAAAGTTTTTTGACAATGGTGTATTGCAATCTAGATTACTGACTTAATGGAGTTTGTCCATTGTCTAGATATTCTAAAACAACATGCATTTTTAAAATTAGATCCTTACACCTGACCGTACAAACAGAACCAGTTTTCATAAATTTTTGAATACCAGATAATGGAGAAAGTCCAGAAATTCAGTAATTCAAATATAATGAGATGTGAAGACTCCATGTCTGGCTCTCTGTCTGTCTGCCTAGCATATTTTCTGGGGCAGTAGCAACCAAAATGATAAGACGTCACTTCTGTGCAAAACGGTGCCTTGGGTCCCACTGTCGAAACATATGCAATATTGAAAAGTAAGGTACCCTTATTGGATCATATTGTTGTTCAACAGTGGCCTTCACACTTGTTAGTGCAACAATGGCACAATGTCGACAACTGAACACTGCTGCAAAGTGACCTTGCATTGTGCATTATTGCAACAATTACCTACATGATGAGGCATGAAGAACACCTCCAAAGAGAATGCCTTTCCAATCTTGTTAAATAAGTAAGTAAACAATAAATGAGAATGTGTTATGTTGTATGCTACAAGTTACAAGATATTCAATATGTGGTGCAGAAATGTAAGTTGTCCATGAAGATAGAACACACCTAATAAAACATTGTGGTGAACCTTCTGCAAAAAAGGGAAAAAAACCCAGAAAGTTCCTTGATCAAATGACTATCAACTGCTCAACAAAAAATCCCTGTAAGTAAAAATAACCTGAACAGCAAAAATATCTATTACTAACCTTTAAAAGGCTGAAAAGTTGCATCATCTATAAATTCTGATTGTTCTATTACTTGAAACAGAAACTCCATGCCATCTTCTGATGTCTTTGCAATTTCACCCCAGTAGAGAAAGTGGTCGTTATTTACAACCCTGCCACTGAAATCAGTCTGAAAGAGAACAAGCAGGTTTTAGACCAGGTAAACCATTTATACTTATCTTAACCCTCTGAAGCCCAACTTCTTACCTGACTTAGAACTGATATGTGATCCACGCTGTAGTCATCAGCTAGAGCTGCCATGAACCTGTTGCACAGGCAGGATTTTCCCACGCCTGCTTGGCCCTTATCCTTCTCAGTGCCTGACAGCCCCACCACAGCGACATTAAACGAACGCATTTTACTACTTTTTCTTGCCATATTTCAACCCATTTCATGTCATTCTTCTAGGAAACATACACTCCATTCGTTGCTGCAACAATCTGATGTCCAAGTTTCTAATCTCATAACACCTAGGATCAATTAACAGACACTTAGCAATCCAGAAAATTTACCTTAAAACTATTAAGCACTAGTATGTTCTGAGAAATTTGAACATAACATTTAATTTTATCAGAAATAATATATAACCAAATAAATGGTAAAAAAACTCCAAAGATTCAACTCAATCTGTAATTCTCAGAATCTTGTTCTTCACTACTAGAGGTCTTGGTTCTATGGTTAAGGCACTATCCATCAATAAAGATGGCTTTAGGTTTTTGACCTGACACATCCAGTGCAGGTTCTTCTACATGCCACTCTCTCATTCACCTCTCACAAGGGGAATTATACATAATGAACTACTGCCCCTCCAGGAAAATGACGCTGTAGTACCTAAAATTAGTACCCCTTCCTACCATATTCTTTACAATTCAATAGTCATTTAATCATTCGATACTGTATAGTCTGGGTTACTGACATCGTCAATACGTAAATCACAAAAAAAATCAATGGTACTTTTACTGTTTTGCCTATTGAAACAAACAAAAACTGATCCTTGTTCATATTTCAGTACGATAGCTATCAACCGAGTGACAACAGTAAAGAAACAGAAAAAAACTAAACACGACTTTATAAAATCAAAACATATTGCGCAAATTACATGTGTACACATTCATAGCAACGTTGAATACATAAAATACAATAAGAGTTACACTGTTCATTAAATGTTAGCAATGGAAACTGCAGGAAATTTCTATAGTCCATGGTGCAAATCAAATGAACCCATCCTAACCTCAAGAATGCCTACATTAAATAATAACAATCTCATGGTTTCTACATTAACAGGAAATATTTATGAGCTATACCCGTAAAATACAGGAAAATGTCGTAATACTGAACAGTCACACTCACATAATGAAGACTACGCCTTTGACAAGTATATCAAGCTCCCATGACACCACAACCCAGTTTCGCTTTGCGCCATATTGAAGAACGAAATATTCATATAAAACATTCTTTCTTATTACAGCAGAACTTAGCACAAGCGCACGGACTTTATCGCATGAGGAATGTAACACCACCACCTCTCACACTTCAAACCACATTTGCAAACATGCGACCAGTGCACATGAGAATGGAGGCCCCCATGGCACGAACACGGGTGAAACGATAATACTCCAAGTTCACCCCCCAAGATGCTTACAATGCCCACTCAACACGATGGCGCTGATGGGGGTCAACGTGAAATACGGAGATCTAATCGGCTAAACAGGGCAACGAAGTAATAACATTGGAATGTTTGAATTGAAGTATGCTAGATACAATCCAAGTAGTTTATATAAATTGGGAATTTTAATTAGTTCCTTCGCTACTATATAGCTGATTCACAACATATCTGTGGCATTTTCGGATTAGTTTGTCAAATAGAAAATCCCTTATTTAAATGTTTTTCCTGTCGGCCTACAAGAGATCTGTTCCCAAATCAATAATGATTCAGCCAGACAAACGTGGGAGGAGAGTGGAATTAAAAACAAAATATCTCAACAAAACTGGGGGAAATTGTTAATAGTTATAATAAATTGCGTGCAATGTTCTTGCATTCTGCGTACCTTCACTCTTTGACTTTTAAGTGATACTAATTTCGTTAAACATCCTTAGTTTGCAATTTTCGCCTCATTTGCCCTCTTTGTGGTCTCTCTCAAAAAGTTATTTCCAGTAGTAATGTAAGTAGTTTCATATATGCAATTTAAATTCTTCTCCTTCCCCTCTGCCCCCCACCCCATCTGGCGCTAGCGAGCAGTAGGAGAGACTTGTAACTCAGAAGTAGGTTGTATTCTTAAGGAGTCAGTATTTTCGATACGCACTTTGAAAGTGTCATATTGATAACAATTCCCTTAGATCGTCAGTATACATTACTAAGTAGTTATACACCTTCCGCAGACTATTTAGGAACATAGCCTGTATGACAAATTAAATATAATAATATATATTACAGACTGACATCCGCAAAAGTAGACACGTGTGTTTCAGGAGTAAAAAGAAATAGAATAAGTTCCTGAAGTATATGCGAAGGCCAACTTAAATTTTGAATCTCGAAATAGGTTTCGCAGCCCAAAGTTTTGTAATGAAAAAAGAAAAGACTATTAAACTTACAAGACGCAGTTCGTGTGCTTCAGATGAACTAACACTACGGATAGGCCTATGCAAGGTGAGTGATCACTTTAAGTCTCCAGCTTACTTACTCCCAGGTATAAAGTAATCTGAACTTATTGGAGAGGATCATTCATAAGTGGGACCCAGAGAAGATCTCTACAGCTCATATGCATCGAACGCTATTCGTCGAGTCACTGACTCAGCTGTTCCGACTACGCAAATACATATTAATAATTAAATAAATGTATAAATAAAGGCATAGTAGCCTACCCCTTGTCAATACGCACTGCCCTGCAGCGACCGTTCGAAGTCAGGGCTTTCTTCTGTTCTCAGCAGCCGCTCTTGAACCGCTGAGAACAGCTTCTATTTGCTTTTCTGGACCAGCTGTTTAATATTTCTTGATCTAGCTAGATGCTGACCTTTTTATTATGAAGGAATATTAACAGCGCATGTTCTCACGTCATAAGCCCCTTTTTACATACATTTGTAGCCTATCTTGTTCTATTTATTTTTAATGCGTTTTACTACTGGGTTATGGGAACTCAAATCGGGTAACGTCGACTTTCACATCTCCAGTACTAATTTTCATCAGTTCTATGTTGTTTCATCGGCTCGTAGGTTATTTAATGACGGTTTTTTAACTGCGGAATGTGCTAGGATAATAACCACAATTGATGAGTAGACAGGGATTCGGAAAGAGGCGATCGTATCTCATTTCAAAATACTGTCGCGGAATTTATCTGAACAAGATGTGAAAAATCACGAAAAAACTTTAGAACTGCCAGTAACGTTGTCGAGATTTGAACCACCTGCCACCGGAACAGAAAGCTACAGCCTCACTTCCACAACACAACATTTACGTACGTTAAGAAATCAATTATTTACTTTCCGATATACCACATTCTTTCAACTATAAGTGGGCCGTCATATATCAGTTCTTCTCTCCGTGTTTACGAAAAGTGTCATAATTATCTGATATGTTAATGTCTATAAATAAGCAGTGTTTTGTACTTGGGGCCCTTACGGATATGTTTATGCATATTTACAGCAATCGGGCGATAGTTAAGGCATTAATCACTTATAATATTTTAATATTATCTAAAGCTTAAAATACATCTTTTGGGGTGAACGTACCTGAAGTTACAGCAGCTAGCAATCCTGTTTCGTATTCGGGCGGTCCGGGGTTTCAATCTCGGTCCGGAGACAGGCTATTCTGTCATTATTTACGTGATTTTCCTTAATCACTCCAGGAAAATACTGGGAAAATACCTTAAATTAGGCCGCGACGACTTCCTTTCACATTCTTCACAATTCTCTGGTCGTAAAGCATCCCATCATTGTAAGTTCTATCTGTAATCTGAGTTACTGACAGCGTCTATAAATAGCCCATTAATTAATTTGATCTTTCATTTTCGAATGCGGCCAGTCCAATTCTTCTTCGTATTTTCTGTCCTCTTATTCAACTGAAAGTACTTATTCTTTCTCCTGTGCGTTCAGTTTGCTCTTTCGTCTTATAACCTCAACCTTTCAACATTCTCAAAAACTAATTTCATAAAGTGTAATTATCTTTTCACCACTTTTCTCTAATCATACACAATGTTCATACGCATATACAAGTGTATCTGTGTAACCTATCAAAATGTATTTACATCTCTCTTTATGGTACCATATACAGAGTTGAAACATCGATATTTTTTAATGATCTCAGTACTTAGTTACACAATTACACATTAAAGGAGACACAGTCTTTCCTATGCTCAAGCATCACTTCTTGAAATGTACGGGGGAGTGGATAATATAGTTCTCAATGTTTTAGCATCAGCACTAAACAAAGGTGAATGATAGCTCCACGTTACTTTATTTTTATATCCGGCATCCATTTGTATTAGAGTCTGAGTACACCCTAGAGACGGCCTGGATAGACTGATAGATTAAAGACAAAAATCCCTGCAACCCTCTGCTAGACGCATGCTATAGATTGTTTGAGTAGGGTTTGATGTTTTCACGCCGTTGAGTATAAAGATGACTGTCTTCTTGGTTGTAGTCAGAGATGATGCGACAAGGTCCTCTGAAAAGGCGGTAAACTCTACCAAACTACATGACGCTACAACCTACGTATACCAGTGGTATTCAACCTTTTTCGTTCGCGTACCCCCAGATAAAATTTCTCTTCAACTTTGTACCCCCAAAGTTGTTGGTGTATAATTCAAGTTATACATAGTATATAATCTACATCTAAAATAAATTAAATAAATTATATTACTGATTATTCAGTGTTTATCATAAAATAATATATTTTTTTAAATTTCACGTACCCCTTAAGATGTATTCGCGTACCCCAGGTTGAATACCACTGACATAGAAGACAGTATCCTAGATGTTTGGTTTTTTACGGTTTTTAATCATATGGGGAAATTTTCAGAAAAAGTTTTTGGCTCTGATTTTTCGAATGACGTGAAGTAATTACTTTCGCCCAAACCAAATGAAGTTTCGATAAATATAACCAATATCTGAATGCAAGTGATATTAATTCTCTGCAGAATTCAGTAGTTGGAAAGACGGAGATTGTGAGAGGCAGAATGTGATGCTTGTTAGGCCTGATCGCACAAACTGCCATTGTTTTGAGGAAATATTTGAAGGCCACAGACAAGGTCAAGCTTCGAAGGTTTTCATGAACACGTAATACGCGTACCAGTGTGGTTACCCGTGGCTCTTCCACGCATCTCTCGCCTTCACCTCGTCATTCGCTAACAATTTATTTTCCTCTTTTTTTCTCTCATTTCACAAGCCAAGTACGAATCAGTGACTTGTACGTCGGTGATCATGGAGTTTCACTTCAACAAGCAGTGTCGACATAGCAGTCATTTCAATCTGTACAAACGAATTGATGTATTCCAAGCAATAGACCAACTGTGACGAGAATGTGACGTCGTGGACCGCTCATCTTAATTAATCTCTATTTCCAACCCCATCACTAAGTAAATATCAGAACACAGGATTATCGAGAAGTTACGCAACCCACTCCTAACACATATCCTGTTTGTCAAAAAATTAATTACACTGAAACCTGCAAAAAAAAAGTTATATTAAACGTTGGAAATGTCAACCGCCTTCAGCGATGAATGCATTCTACTCTTTTCCTCATGTCTGATGCAATCATGGTAAGAATTCCTGTCGAAGAATGTTGTTGCCGCCGTTTCAAATGTACAGATTCTACACAACGTTGAACGAAGTGGGCAGATGCTTACGATGAAGTGTTGCGTTTTCTTTCCAGTACGGACTGAATTCTTTAATATTATTTAGACAAGCTCCAAGTTCACAGTGTTAGGGATGATTACGATGTATGCATTGGAATGAGAGAAAGGGAGATCGTGGCCTGTTTAAAGGTTATATCCAATCATTCGTCTCTAAGGACTGGGGATTTCCACGAAAAGAATAAAGTTAAGACAAGTTTCGAAGTACCGAAGCACGTTCACACACTGCTGCTGAGATAATCTTCTCGGTGACATACAAGACGCATTCAGGGTCTTAATTACATCTCAAACTTACAGACACGCGCTCAGACTTGTAAAGGCCAATAATGACTCGGGAAGGCCAACTCAGTTTTGACGACACGCGGCCGTATTTGGTACCAGTATCACGTTATGCAGCCCGAGGCATATTACAGGATGTTTCTGCCACATTTTAAGTACAGTGGATTCCGGTATTATACGAAAGAGTTTAAAAGGTTTGTACTTTAAGATTTGTTCCAAATAAACGGCTATCCAGATTAACCGATGGCCTAATTAGCCGGAATCTACTGTATTTCAACTTGAAATATCTAAATAGTGTTTGTTCAGAATGGGATTACTTTCTCGTGTTTGCCCCAGTTTGGTGCGCTATCCAATAGAGCGCGCCCAGATTTTGAAAGGTTTTGCCTACAAGTGAAAAAGTGTATCTGAACAAAATTGACTTAATACTTTAAAAATATAGTAAACAGATGCCATGTTAAACATTTTCAGTAATTTAATATCAGTCTGAAATGGAGACATGTTTTCGGTACTGGCAGTTATTTAGAGGGAAAAAACGAGAAATGTACTCAGGCAAATGCAATGAATCATAAATATACCAAATTAAACAACTGCAATAAATTATTTATTTATTTATGTCAAATGGCAGGTACATAGAATTTCATCTTTGGCCCTTTTTTGCCAAGCTTGTAGACCACTTTGCCGTCAGAGACGTTGCTCAGGGTGCACCACAAGGAGGTAGGTCTACTTTGCACCCCCTGCAATAAATTATATGTTACGTGATAAAACTTCCAATAGTTTTCTATACCGAACAGTCCCCCACCTTCCTGTCACGATGCAATTGGACCACAAGGTCAAATTATAAGACTGGACTGGGAGCATACACGAGCTTGATTGGCCCAGCTGAGAAGCGGAACACAATTAGAAAGTAAACTAATCCAGTAAATGAAAATATTGAAGAACTCTTTTATATGTCATGTTTCAGTACCCGCTGGACAGACCAGACGGTTTCCGGCGCTGAAATGGACGGCGCAGCAGTAGCGTCTTTCTTGAGGATCTACCTATTGGTACGCTCAACTAATCAAGAAATTCTCAGACTTTTCTGGAACCAAAAGATTCATTACCGTGTTCACATGACCCCGCCTCCGATCTCTATTCTGAGTCAGATGAATTCAATCTACATTCCCAAACCCTTCGACTCTAAGAACCATTTTAATATTATCCCCCAATATACGCCCAGGTCTTCCTATTTGTTTCTTCTCTCCAGACTTTCCCAACTGCCTGATGCGCGCTGTATGCCCTGCCCATCTCATTCTCCTTGATTTGATTATCCTAATAATATTTGACGAAGAGTGAAACACGCGGAGCTTCTGACTGTGCAGTTTTCTCCAGTCTGTTGTTAATTTATTCCTCTTAAATATCCTGCTATCAACATTACGATTTGCAGTACAAGACATTGATTTTATTATATAGCGAGAGACACCGGTTAAATTAATTTGTTAAAAATATAACTTTCCCATTAAAAATATACATTATTACGCCAAATTCAACACTTGAATTCCCATATCAATACTTGAGAAAATATCTGGTTTTGAGGTCTTGTCAATGTTCTTTTAAAGGGTGAAATATTTTATTCTGATCATAATAACCCTCATGTTATGAGGCTTTCTTATCTGCACAGTTCACAATTATAGCATCGAATAATAATTGTTACGGTGGCTGTAAAATTTTAATTGAAAAGTGTACAATTGTGATCAGTTTTAACAAACGATCTCAGTACTTTCCTGGATGGACTGGGTAAAACCACAGAACCCTCGGCCATGACAGTCGATATACGTACCGAGATTGGAACCCGTTATCTCCTTAATACAAAGCGGCACTGCTAAACATTCGACCGTGATTTCTGATAACGTAACAGTGAAAGGTTTTTAATCATGCAACTTTTAGGTAATTAGTTTATTATAGTGTTTCGAAGCAGAATTTTCAGCGCACCGGGAAATAAGCAAGAAATGGGCAGTGCCTCTAACAATTCAACGCAAGAATTAACAGCGATGTGTGTCAAGATCCTACGCCACAGAGAAACTATGGTGGCTGAAAAGGAAGCTTTTGCTTTCGCAGTAAAATTGCAGTTATTTGTTTAAGAAACAGCAAATACTCATGCAATCGCTGTAATAGCTTAAATGTAGAAAGATGTTCTGGGAGACATTTGGATAGTCAACACGGTTTGAAGAATTCGTACATGAACTATGACAATGCAGAATTTGCCTCACGTGAATCTACGCAGATTTCTGAAGATCTCAGCACCCAAACGTTGCTAATGATCTAAATTGAAGGCGCAAGAATACATAAAATATCGTAACATCTCCGACCACACTTTTCGGATAAAACTGGACGCTGAGGAAATTCTGTTGTTCCTTGTTGGCACAGAACCAAAAATGCAACTTCGAGTGAATAAAATGTGTTAATTCATGCTAAAATGTTAAAACAGCAATACTCACAACTATGGTCGGGTCGTAGTTTGATAATCCCTATAATCCCCTAAAAGAGTATTGGCCGACATTCGCGTGTTTTCCAGTTTGACAGGCACATCGCCAAAAACTCTGCTTGAGAATGGATCACCTGCCGTTATTACACCACGGCTAGAAGTGCTGGTGTATCTCTGACCATCACAAACCTGCGATAGCAAGCTTCGACGTTTGCAGTCCAAGAGAAGAGCTAGCAACTACGCTACGTTCTTACGCCTGAACTGGGGCTTCCAACGTCACATGCAGACGGGACCAAGGACCATTAAATCGTGGCGCCTGTGAAATGACGCAGAAAAGTAGTGAGAAAGGGAGAAGATAAAGGTAACAAGAAAAAACCAAAAATAGATTCGGAAAGCAGGAAATGAAGTCAAGAAAATAGTCTTATGCCTGCATGAACTGTCGTTACAGTGATTACAGGATGTATTCTCTGCAAGACGACTGAATCTATAATTATGACGTCATCGAGGGTTTAATTAACATTCGTCCATCACCCATCGTCATTGGTATTACGTGTAAATGTATTGGAAGGCCAGAATTAGTACGTGATAGCGAAACATTTCATCAGACGAATGAAAACGTATGCCAACCCCCATTCTCGTTATTCTTGCCCAAGAGACCGACCGATTATAGCCATTACGCCTTCTGACTACAGCTATTTTCTAAATCCTATTCAGGCTTTTGCAGATGACAATCGGAGTGCGACTCAGTCAGTAAAACTGCAATCTGCAATACGTTTTTATATTTTCTTAGATTTATTAAATTTGCTTTTTAAGTTTTTATTTATATAATTAATTTTAAATTGTATAACTTGGTCTCGATTTCTTTAATATATAAGAATGCAACTTCTTGTTATTACTTGATATTTTTGATGTTATAACTTTTGAACTCTTATTGCATTTTTTAAATTTCTGACTCTTCTTGAGGGAGACGAAATTTCTTAGATGACTTTTGAATAGCCACTGCCTATTCTGAACAAAGAGACAGACACACAAAAACACTAAACAGCTAACGTTGTGGAACGTAATCTTTCATGAGAAGCTAATAATTGCTCAGGTCGTAAATACTTTTCCCACCTTTTATGGTACACGAAGGCGTGTTACCGTATTGACAATAGACCACCACTGGAGTCTATTCTGAGCCAGATGAGTCAAGTACATATACCCCAGACGCTGTCTCTTGAAAGTTCCACTCCCATCTATGCCTTACTCTCCCAGATGCTCTTTCTTCGTATTCAGATTTTCTGACTAAGAGCCATTGTGCTTTTATCTTATGTGCAACATGCCCTTCATTTGATAACCTTAATAATATTTAGTAAAGAGAAAACACACATTCTATATACTTTAAAATTATAAATTATTTCACAGTTACCTCCAGTCTGTTCGTTTCAAATATTCATTTCATCATTATGATCTTGAAAACCCCTTCCTTTAGCGCAAGATATCAAGATTTGCACCCATACAGAAAGCACCTAAATACATAGAATAAATATAGCACAATAAAATAAATCAGAAATGTATAATGTACAAAAATTCAAAAACATAAAAATAAAACAAACAATTACAAAATAAAAAAAGACCGAAAATGCCAAGGAAGTAAAATATTGTCAATAAAACATTCACAAATTAAAATAAAAAATAAACCAAAAACGAATAAAACGCGAACACAATTTTCACAAACAAGGGATTAAGAAGGTAGAAAGTTATACAGATGTCAAAAAAGCAATGATGGAAAGAATAAGAAATCCAAATAGCAAATAACCTAAACACAAAACGGATATAATGAAGTCAAAAGGAGTAACTGGAAAGTAAGAAACAATAAATAATGAACTTCTTGATAACCACAGTTTTTCGATAGTCGGTAAGAAACAAGCCTCGTTCACACACTTTTTTGCAGTAAATGAATGGCCGTCATAAAGTATCCTTATATTTCTATGACAGTAAGGAACACAATCCCGAAGAACTGCTGTGAGCTTTTAGTACACCTTCGCTAAAACAAAAAACTTTTAGGTGATCTTGAAATAGCTGCGATTATCAAAAACCCGACGTCCTTCACGCACAGGGAACAGTGATATTACTTATAAGAAATTAAGGCTAACATGTGACCTCACTCTTACCTCATACGATCATCATAATATGATTGTGAACATGGTTAAGAGATTTCGTCAATGCTTCTTGCATCATAAAACGTATGGCTGCGAATTGTTGAGAAACGAGCTGGTTCATTTTACTAGTCATTCTCGGATTTTATGCGATGACACAAAGCATCCTTCGTCCTTGTATCTTCCTATCCAGTATTTCTGATTCGTTGTGTTGCTTGCTTTACCTTTCACTTAGTTTTTACTTGTTTTGTTTGAACATCCTCGCATTTACGAAATCGCGAGTGTAATCCGGAAAGTATTTGTAGCGTGATGCGTTTGTTTACGTCAATGGGATTAGTTCACGTATTAATAATTTGTTGTCTCTATTTTTAAATGTTGTTCCACAGACATCCACCAAACATGTTTTTAAGCAACACAAAACATTTATTACATTTCCGCACCAGGGACTATACGTTTGTCAAATTTAACATCGGTAATTAAATTTAGGATATATACGCGTACGGTTAGTTTTAATGTATGAGAGAGGGAGATGGAGTATATAATTTGGGTTTAGGCGTGAAGTGTCAGCTTTAACTGGCCGATCAGTAAATAGTTGATGTTGACTTAACATGTTCTTATGTAAGTATCTCATATGAAATTAAATTAATTTGGAATAGATATCAGGAGTTGAAAGACAAGTAACATAGTCATAGGAACGGACGCACATTTGAACACAGACAATACAGACCCATTATGAGTTGTTGGTATTAATCGAATGCGTAGTTACACGAAAACAAAACGCTAATGTTAAATAAATTACGAAACAAAGACAAGAATTCCTTAAAACTAAACAGGTATAATTTTTTGTAAGTTTTCTTTCTTTGAGAAATTGGCAAAAAATAAAAGAAATTGCTCAGTTTAAGACATGGATAAACATTTCATCCGTCTAATCAATTGTAAAATTTTACAACTCTTTTAAACAGTGAAACTCAACACAGACTAAAACTACCAAATGACTTTTTTAACATGCTTATAAAACTTTTGTTTTCAATTCTATGATTAAAGTATATGCATCATCATTTGCAAGACTTGTACTGCGTTGCTTCGCTGTATATGAAATAGAAATCTCAATCTATATGGCATTCCGTTTAAGTGGCTTAAACATTCTTTCCTTATTACAGCACACATTCTCAGGATTTTAAACCGATGAAACTTCAGTGTAATTTAGAACTGATTTATGGGTTTAATTTATCTATATTTTACAATACCATTAAATTTCTTGATTACGTTTATATGGATCCAGACTTTTTGCACATGACACGTAAGCAGTAGACGAAGATAGTTGATGGGAAATTACCGTAATTTCGATCAATTTATTTTGAAGAACTGTACAGTTGAAGTACGTATCTAAATGATTGCCCTGAAGAATGTTGAAGCGATTTTTTCGTAGATATAATTTATTGTTCCATTAGATAACATTTTTTTTTGGATAGACACAATATAGCTAATACCTTTAGGCTAATTTAACTCAGTAAAACAGATACAAAGAATGTAGTTGTTAAGTTGATGGCATTGCTGCTTAGTGCCCTGAAGAACCTGATGTCGCTTCTCGTCCTGTAGTCCGGCTATCAATACACTAATCGTAGTTTACCTTGGCCTCCCCTTAAAACAGTATACGACCGTTTACTTTCATACCATTCACAGGCAACCTCTCATTAGAGGACGCAGTTCAAATATCGACTCTGAACACACTAAGAAGCAAAGGTGATGATAATCAAGTGTCTTACATGACCATCGTTGAAAGCGGAAAACAATACTGAATGCTTCATTAGCCAAACATCTGAGGCTTTGAAGAAAGTGTCACTGAGATACTGTGATTAAACATTTGCGCAAACTTGAAATAAAAATACCACATTGTTTAACAAGACTAAAATACGTATAAGCTATAATTTACACATTCACGTCACTTATGAAAGGCTAAAAATGCAAGTCATTGATATTCAGTGTCCAGGAAAATATTTGGGTAATTTAATGAAACTGCATTGAAAATCATGTATTCAGGTCACGTAACGTTACGGTGGACTGGAGGAAAGGTTTCATTTTAAAATAACATTTTTGAAGTCGGTCGATTCGTACGTCATATAGTGACGCTCTACTGGCGAATTTTATCCAAAATCGAATGAAAAGAGTGTATTAGGCTACATTCTAACGTTGAAAAAGAAAAGACTTAACGCAAAGTGGTAATGGCCTTATATTAATACTAAGAGTAATTTGTCTGGAGGGACAAAGAAATTTTGCCTTGTCTAATCTAACCTAATCTAATCTAACTTAACCGTAACGAAACAAAAAAGGATAAATAGTGTCCAGACAGAGACGTGTCAACAGAATCGCTGAGGCTTGAGATATCGAATGGGTAAAATGAACCATAAAATAACTGTCATAATAGTCTAGATCCAAGTCGGGTACCACAAGACGATGAATTCCCCGCCCATGGTAATGTTCTTGTGATAACTTCAATTATCTAAGAAAACTTCCAAAGTTTCCTGATATAAGGTGACAAGTTCGGAGCTCTTTTCATTACAGTAGTCAACAAATCTGAGTTTAATGTTTCTGTCAGCTCATTAGTAGCTAAATTTACTCACGAAATTGTAAATGGCAGGAAGTTGTCGTAACCTGAGATTGTAATTCGAAATTTTGTGTTGCCAAGAGAAATTTATTCCGTTGTATGTACGTCCAATATTATATTCTACATATAAGTTTCTCATGTGTATAAGCCATTGGCATATTTTTACGGCTCTCAATCATCGTCGGATAGTTAGTTGACAAAACAAGAATAAAATCTGCATAAAGTTTATTGATAATTTTGAGGCATTTAATTTTAAACATTTCAATTGGTTCTGAAGAGGAATTTTGAATTCCGCAAGTATTTGCTGATGGGAGAAAACAGTTTACTTGAAATTTCCGATCTTTTCACAACCAGGAAAATGTCTAAAACTAAGAGGATGTGTTAAGGAATAATTTTTCATAGCGCGTAAAGAACAGTTTCGTAATTTATAAGATGTAAAGTTTAATATCAGAGTGCCACAGTGTTACAGCGGCGAAATTCAACAAATTCTTGCATTTCATGTCAACTGTTATTGCCCAAAAGCTAATAATAAGCCCGGTCGTTCGATACGTATCGTTGAATATCACGTGGAATTCCCTAACCGGCGACAAGGCAACAGGAGTGACGACTCTCTGCGTCGGTATCCAAGGTCCTGTCATATGACGTAAGTTATGTTGTGTAAGGCAAGCATATTCTGTAAGATTTGAGGTTTTCACAGCGGTGAGTATGAAGATTTCTGTCTTCTGGGTTGTTGCGCTGTGTAGTCTGGTCGATGTTTACCGACGTTTCAGAGGTCATACTACCGCCGTCATCAGGGCGAAATCGCCCTGCTAGTCTAAAAACCGATGTTTCATCCAGTTTATATTGTTAGCGCCTTCCGTAGTAGGCAACTTCTCTGACACATCAGCAAAGCGTGTTAGTATATGCACTTTTGAGGACTCCTTGAGTGTAAACCGGTGGTTCCCAATTACATTTGGTTGAATACCAACGTTTTGATGCTACACCGTAAAGATGGAGGCGATATCTTTCTCTTTAAGGTGGAAAAAAGAATAACTGAGCAACCACTTGTTCGTTCATTTTTATCTGTGTAGTAATTCTTTATTTACACTAACGGAGACTTAAGTACGTAGTGCATTACACATTTCCATTGTTTATGAGCCTGACGAAGGCATAAAAGGAGACGAGATATAATAAAATACAAATAGAACGGCAGAGTACAATAAGAACTAAAGATAACACAAATGCAGAGGCCAAGTAGATAAAATAACATCTAAAGAATCTGGATAAAAGAATGTTTATTTATTAATTAAATGAAAGTGTATAAAATGTCAACAGAAAAAAATCAGTAAGCGACAGACGGTCTTTGTTGAGGACGTCAGTGTTTCTGCAGATTGCATCTATCGAAGAAACACCTGAAGGACTAATGTTGAACTGATGGTTTACAACAAAATTAGAGTAGTGCAGCGGGTTCGCATTTTACGATGCCATCGATTAACGATCCCCTCCCATAGGGCCCCACTCTAACGTATTAGCGATAAATTTCCGATTAGCGACACGTGCATGATATCACAAGGCCTCCAATTTCGGCCAATCGGAGCGCTTCTTGATGGAGTCAGCAGGCCTGAGCCAATCAGCGATACATTTTATGAGCCAGCGATATCTGAAGCCAGCACCTCTAATAAAACCTCAATCTCCACTCTCCCTGAAAATTAATTCTCTCCTACCCCTATAATCCTATATTCGATTAATGATAATTTCAATTAACGATGGTTCTGTGGAACCTATTATTATCGTTAACTGGGGGACTACTCTACCTGATTATGGTAGTAGGTATCTATTAACTAACAGAATCTAGAATTCAAGTTCAACTAACTTTGTTCTTAGAAGCATTAAAGAGGCCGGATATTCTTACTGTAATGTTTATGAAGTTCCTTCTAATTAAAGATACTTTCATCGTCGTCCCGAGAACCGGTTACCTTAGTGAAGGACAATATATTACGAGTTTTCCTTTTTTTCTTCTTCACTTTTCTTTATACATACTGGCGCCATGGACAACATCTGATGCTTGAAATACGAAGAAATGCGTTCTTTACTTGGTAAATGATCGCGTAATTAATACAACTGTAATTTATTTTGCGAGTAACTATTGACTGTCATGGTTCTATTGTGCTGATGACAGCATAGCTAAATAATTTAATGTAATTAATGGAAGATTATCCAAAGATATAACTGATAAACATCTAACAGTGGACTACAGGTTCTTGAATACCCATTTGTTTGTTAATCACAACACAGTCATACTACAGCGAACAAATACCACTGTCTTCACAGTGTTAAGGTATTATTAAATTTTATGTAGATTACTGATAAACTACTGAACATATTTTCCTTGTTCACCAGGATAGACTACATTTTTAAGTAAAGAGTCTGACATTATAGATCTACGTAAAACCAGAAAACCATCTATCCGATGACATAACTCGAACGTTCACTTCAGCTAATGTCACTACCCGTCTTTTCACACTTACAGTTTGAAGCACCTCTAAGGAATACCAGTACAACCAAACTTCTGAGTTTCTTACCAGAGACAAATTTACCGCCAATATTACTATTAATCTTAAGCTGTATCTCACTTATAAAGTTCATATATTTAAAGGAGTGATTTTCTGTTAATAGACTTTAATTGAAAATCATTGTCAAAATTACTTTAGAATGTGTGGGCGTTATTACTAAATGAAGATTATGGGCTACATTTAAGTAATGCAAATTAAATAATTCAACATGTTTCAGTGTTTCTCAGACTGTGTGAGAAACACTGAAATAACTTCATTTTTCAAAGCCTTACTTTCGGGAGGAAGGCGTTGCGTTATATTTTATCTCAGGAAACTTATGAAAGGACAGCCAATTTTTGGACAGAGATTCTAAATCAAAACATCTCTAATATTAAACAGGACTGATAACCAACTATGCTGCGACGTTATAAATGTGTTTGAATACAGCTGTCTTTTGGGTTGTTGAGCCGTGTAGGCTGGGAGAAGTTTACCCGACGTTTCAGTGGTGCTTGCGGTCTCAGGGCGCACCCTGATTATGGAGGCAGCAAGCACCTCTGAAACGTCGGCAAACTCCTCCCAGCCTACACGGCTCAACAACCCAAAAGACAGCAATTTTTATAATCGCTGACGTGAGAAAATAAAGTCTCACTTAATAAATATGTTTGGTTGTCCTCGTCAGTGTTCGAAGTCATTTGCAAAGTCGAAAGTAGGATAGAAGATATATGAAAGAAATATTTGTTAGACTCAACTGACAATGAAACGATCGTGCACTTTAATATTAAGCATGCGATTAGGTACTTGTCCGTTGAAATTCAGCTGCATTCCTTGGGTAACTCATTGTCCACACCAACGCAACTACAGAGCGAGTATCATTTCAAGCATTTTGATCACTTTACAGCGGATTCAAGAAACTAAGTAATTTACAGCAGATGTCACACTGCGAAATGTAAGAATTCGTAATCATGTTTTCCTTCGACTATATACTGTATTGTGGGCCAATAAATTAAGGTTCACTATGATCTCAGACCGCGTCACCAAATTAAAAATGCAGACAGAGCCTTCTACTAAAGTTTACTATTGACGTAGTTCGGCAAAAATAATACAAATGACAGCAACATTTAAAGAAACGATAAAAGCAACGCAAGTTCTTTGCAAGAAGACAATTTATACATCTTCTGGGTTGTATATAGCGCCGTGTAGTCTGGTGGAAGTTTGCTGACGTTTCAGAGGTGCTTGCTTCTTCCATCATCAGGACAATGATAATTGAGGCATCAAACACCTCTTGGAACGTCGGTAAACTTCTACCAGACTATATGACGCAACAGACGACAGCCATCTCCATACTCACCGCCGAGAGAACCTCAAATCTCACAAAGCGAGTAAAGTAAAGTTTAAGAAGCTTTTTTCTACGAGAGGTGGTAATGATTATTTAACATTTACACAACTCACTAATTCTCGGAAGGCTTGGTTCGTAAGTATACATACGTATGCGTAATTGCACTTCACAAATAATACACAAGTTGGTAAAATACTACCACATAGGCCTAGTATTCACAAATACCGTGTTTTATACTCCACATTCATTCCATTTTGTTGTCGAGCATCTCAGTTACGACACAAGACACCATTATTTAAATTTATGCTGTTCCTCGCTACCGC